TAATCCCATATGATTGTTTGTTTGTTTATTTGTTTGTTGTTACATTACTAGATGGTCGTTTTTAATTTTTTTTACCCTTTTTAATATTTTTTTTTTATTTTTATTACCGGGAAATGTTTAATTTTTTTTTTTTTCGCGAAATGTGAGAGAAAAAATGATTGAAAAACGACAAAAGGATAAATTGGGAGAAAAGGGAGGGGAAGAGGGGAGGAGAATAAAATTGGAAAAAGGTGAACAGAAAAAGAAAAAAAAGGTTTCTCGAGTTAATTTAAAAAAAAAAAAAAAAAAAAAAAAAACATTTTTAGGTTTAAACGACTTAAAAATTTTTCTTTTTTTTTATTTTTCCCATCATTTATTTTTCTCATTTCATTTTTTTTTTTTCTAGAACTTTATATAAAAAAATAAAAAAAAAGTTTTTTTTTTTTTTTTTTCCCTAGTTCAACCGGTTAATTTAAAACGAGTTTTTAAAAGCGGGTGATACCTTTTTTTTAAAAAACTTTTATTATTGTTCCAGGAATATTTTTTTTTCTCTCCTCTTCCCCCTCCCCTTCCTCTTCTTTCCCCCTCTCTCTCTCCCCGCCAATTTTTTTTTTTTTCAACTTTGTTCTTTTGGCTTTTGGGCTTGAAGTTTTCATTTTTTTTTCTTTTTCCTTTTCTTTTCTTTTCTTTTTCTTACTCTTTCGTTTTCAATATTAATAATTATTTAAAAAGAAAATTTTATTGTTCTTTTATTATTATTATTATTATTATTATTATTACTATTATTGCGTAACCTTCCTTTTTTCCTTCCTTTCTTCCATCCATCTTGTTATTTTATTTTTTAAAATTTTAATAAATTTTAAATTTATTATTAAATTAATAATAATTTTAAAAAAAATAATAATAATAATTTATTACATTGTTACCTTGGAATATTCACAATTAATAATAATAATAATAAATAAATAAAATTTAAATGAGAAAATATGAATGAGAAAAAAAATGTATAAAAAAAAATAAAAACTTTTAAAATAATATTTTAGAAAAAACTTTTTTCTTATTTTATTTTATCGACGACGACAAACTCATAAAAATTTGTGTGTGATTGTTGTTTGTATACGAATGAATATTTACTCTCATTGTTAAAAAAAAAAAAAAGGTTTTTCTTTCGTCATTTAAACGGTTTCAGGTGTTTGTTTGGGGCGTTTTCTCTTAAATTTCTGGGGAGGGGGGTTCATGCGCTCTTACAGACTATTGATTTAATATATATAAAAAATATAATTCGTTTTTTTTTTTTTTTAAATAAAAAATCAATTAAATTATAAAATTTTTTTTTTATCTCAAGAATAAGAGGATAAGATGTGATGGGAGAAAGAGAGAAAGAGTGAGAGTGGAGGGGAGGGGAAGCGAGGGAGGAGGAAGGATGAGAAATAATAATAAAAGTAATAAAATCCTATTAAATTCTTTCACACGAGTTTTTTTTTTTTGTAAAGGTTGTTTCATTAGATTAAACAAAAAGCACAGGGAGAAAAAGGAAAAAATTGAATGCAATAGAATAAAGTGTTTGGGGAGAGGGAGACGGAGGGATGGGAGGAGGGTCTTATCCTTTCGTGTCATCACAAATGGCTATGAATAATGAAAAAAAAAAAAAAAAAGGGAAAAAAAAAACCTTCGTGTTTTCTCGCCTCCCCGCCCTTACCCCTCCTCCCACCCCCCGCTTTTGTTTCCGATTATTTTTATATATACATATATAGTGACGTCACAAAATGATTAACGAATTTTCGGTAACATGTGATAATGACGGGATTTTCCGAAAAAAAAAAAAAAAAAAAAATTAAAACCTTCATTTAACTCAAATGTTTATGTATATCTCTTCAATTTTTTTAAAAAAATGGAGGAGGTTTAGGGAGAATGCAAACAAACAAACAAACAAAAAAAAAATGAATAATAACTTTTATTATTTACGATCGGTTTTGTTTTTGGGGGGACGACGACGACATTTTCATCGTACGAAATAGTTTTTTTTTTTTTTTTTATCTGTTAATTATTATTTTTGTAATGTCGGTTGTTCGACAATGAATTTTTTTTAAATTTATCTCAAACCGGAAATGGTTTTTTTTTTTATCTCTCTCTCTCTCTCTTTCTCTCTCTTTTAGTTTCGCGTTAAACCAAAAAAAAAAAAGAGGAACCGACTCGATGAAAAATGATCGCGGTGACCTTATAATTTTCGGTTTAAAAAATATTTTAATGGTTTTAATCTCTTTCAAAAGTTATTACCACCTTATAATATTGTTCCCACGGGGTAATATTTTTCTAGTTCCCGTAGGAGCGAAAAAAAACCCACCATTTTCCAATAACAACACGAAAAATTTTTTTAGAAAACTCATAAGAAAATTTTCTTTTATTTAAAAAAAAAACTTTTTACACATAATTATTATTATTATTATTATTTAAAAAGTTGAATTATAATAAGAGTTATGGGAATTAATGAAAAGAGTTCTAGAACATTCTTCCTTTAAATTTTATATATTAAACTTAATAATATTTATGTATGGGTATTTAAAGAAAATT